AAATACGCTACCGTCGCGATGTTTTATAACTCGTCGGGTTTCGAATCGAAAGTCATCTAAAAGTTGAGCGAAGCGCTCGTCAATAATTTTTGTTACATATGAAACTAAAATGTGAGTGTGTTGAATTCGTGTTTAAAAACGTTGAATTGAGAAATAGAAACAGTACATTTTAAAGCTTGTTAAGCAGCATTATATTCAAAGTGTCAGTCGCATAAACTTGTTTGTTAACGGTGCTTTACGACTAACATTTAGCTTTCATTTCGGTTTCTTCCAAATGGACTTGAACTTAGATTTCGGCCAGACACTTTGTCCATTTAAATGGCGATAGTTTTGACCATCCTCAAGACGAGAGCGTTTTAGTTCAAATCCCGACCTCTGACGAGGTCACATTCGGCCTACGAAGACTCGCTCGGCCAGAACTAATCTGTCATCAGTGTCCCTAGGTCCTGTCAACTTAATCCGATTAGTGAGTCAGACGAGTGGTCAAAGGGGCCGCTAGTTATTGCCTGCCCCTGTCTCTTTTGGTGTTCGGCCAGGGCAAAGTGATTTTAATCCGGTTGATGAATAACGTTCCTGGCGAGACAGCAGTGGCTGGTACAACAAGGACAGCGGTAATAAATTCAGCAACAACCGCTTGAGGAACGATCATTTGGATGAATTTCGTAAAATCAAGTGCTTTTTAGTGTCTAAGAGGACATTTCAGTGTATATTTCAGATAAGTAAAACTTAACAATTTATTATCGACTATCTTTTGTTCGATAAATTAGCAATTTTTGGATCTTATAAGTCATAATTTCAGTTCTAGCGCCCTTGGTTGGAATAGTATGCGTCAAAATGATCATAATTTTTGCATATTGCTGTATATATAATATAATATAATACATACATTAGAGTTTGCTGAAGAAGGCCAAAGTGCTGAAATGTCCATTAAAACAGAAATAGCTTCATGCTGGTGTTCTACAATATATATCCAGAAGTGATAGAGTACAAGCACTAAAACTGTGCAACATAAAAACCACTAACTCCTAACTTTTTTGCTAATTCTATTGTTAATAGTTTTAATCAGGACTATTTTGTAATAAATAGTGTAATGTGTTGCACGCTTTTAGTGTTTGTACTCCATTATCTCGTTAACTCCCTACATGTCTTTTTCTAATTTATTTATTTCTCTAGTTATCCTTTGCAGGCTGTGCCTGCAGAGTGGTAGAAAGACACCTAACTCGTGTAGGCAATCCAAAATCTGATTGTAAGTTAGTAATACGTCTTTAGCTTCATAATTTTTCATCGTTTTTTTCAGATTTTGTATGATAGCGCAAAGGAAACAAATTTCAAGTTGAGAATACTTCCATTTAACATATCTTGGCATAATGAAGATTTATTGAATTGTTGGAGAATATATTTCTCTCTCTTCTCTTTTGTTATAGCTTTGCCTTTTGATATGATGTACTTTTTGCACTTCATCCCTCCACAAAAACCTGCACACTTGCACAGCCGATTGCATTGTTTTTTGTTTAAAATACATCTGCATCGATTTCTGCTAAAATAATGCTTTCTTGTCTTGTGCGTTTTTTGGGGGGTGCTTCCACATCTACATCCAAGACTGGTCTGTTTCACTGATAAAAAAAATATACATTAGGTTGTCARAAAAAAAWMCAATTAGGTTAAATAAATTGTCAAATAATAGATTGGCATAGGTGTGAAAATACACTTTTTGTACTCACTTTGTCCTCACTTTTTAGCGTTGAGTCAGTTAAGTAATGATAGCAAGAACTAGGCAAGCAAACCACAATGGAATGACAGAAGGTGCTAATTGTGTATTGTATAATTCATCCATCTCATTGGATAAACATTAAAATCTGACATAATTTCACATGTTAGCAAAATTTTTAAATATTTTATTTAATATCTGATCCCGACTTCATGAAAGCTTTCCTTGGTTTCAAGTAATATACACAATATGAGCAGGTGCTCTATATGAGGATTTAAAACAGCGAGCTGAAAGCGTACAGATCGCACACGAATATTGTATATTACTTATGAAACACTGAGGTAAACTAGACCAGGTTTTAAAGAAACTAGTGAAAAAAATCTCAGAGCTAAAGTTTATCTCAGAGTTAAATTTTATGCAAATGAAGAAGAAATCTGTATGTACTGTAATAAACAACTCTCTTCGTGGGCTATGATTTCTATTGTCTTTTGCCTTATGAATATTTATTAATGAGTTTTATAATATTAATATAAATTCTATGTGGGGAACATAGCAAATCAGAAACATATTTTGGCTATTGTTTTGAGTGCTTATGATTGGACAATATCTTTTWATACAAAAGAAACTTTGTTTTAAAACAGAGTTTATCAAAATTTCATTTTTGAAATCTGTTACCCATAGGTTATATATAATCAGTGTGAAAACCAAACATTTGTATGTGCGGAAGTTGCAATTGCTGCAGAACAATAGAGAGTTGCCTAGTTCTTATGCGCATTGTTACTTAATTRACCTAATATAATGCATAGTCAAAGCACAATATTTTTCATTTGTTGACTTTTATTCTATCTAGGAAGACATGTTGCTTTATTAATCTGCGAGCATAGAAATCATCCAAAGTTTATTATCTTCTACTTTATTTTCTAAACAAATATATGTACCTATCAGCTCTTCCTTTCTATTGATGGTTTCATCTAGATTGTCAGGCTCAGCACTGATGGGGCTTTCATTAAYGGGCAGAACAGGTTGCAATGTGCCTACAATAAACAGACAGTACAAAAGTTTAAATTAATAGCAACTTAGTTAATTTGATGTTTTGTGCCACAATCACTGGAGGCAACAAAGTTGCATGGATTAAGTTGCTAAGAGATCACTAGCGATACCAAAAAAAAAWTTCGTAATCACTATATTTTGTAGTAAGAGTAAGATAATATAGCCATACATATAGCGAACATATAGCCATATTTACTACAAATTATCATCTGGAGTGTCAGAAATTTTAAATCAAATGGCATCCTTATGTTGATTGCATTAATCTGCTTGAAAATATTGAAAAAAGATGTCACATGATAAGAACAATAAGTTGAAATGCATACGTACCTTGGGAGTTATCATTTAATGGTTCGTTTAGAACTGCTGCATCATAATGCCCTGGTCCAAATGAGTTATATGCTAGAAAGATTGGCCTAGCATTTGGAATACTTCTGTCTGGACAAACACTAAATATGGGTGTGTGTGACAGCRATGAAATAATTGTTAAGGGAATGTTAAGTACATTTGCCATTGCTATAGGCATAAGGTCACCAAGAGTTCCTCCAAAATAGTGAGCACTTTCATAATTTGTAACTTCTTCATTGAAGTTCACAGTGGATGGYAAGAACTGGACATAGTTATCCTTACGATCTCCCCTCCACTCTTCCACAAGGAGTTTTCTAAGTAGCATCGAAATACCAWGATTGCTTGTATTTGGAGTTATTCCAAGGCTACTAAGATATGCAATAACATCGCTGTTAGCATCTGGAGAATGCAATATGTTGGACAAATGAAAGGCAACAGCATAAAAAAAACAATTCCCATCACCCGCTACAGGCACAGAAGACAAGCCAAAACTCTTTAAATGTCCATTGAGAGAGTCTATATGCCTGTCCAATGATTCTTCACTTATTGTTAGATGAATAGTTTCCATCTTCTTTGCTGAAAGAGTACCAATTCCTAGAGATGAAGGCAATTTACTTTTTGAAACAAATTTAGAGCAGCCTACTCCGAGCAGTCCCATATACATTTGAAAAAAGTTGAGTGCATCCAATGTCACTTCCAGATTGTGACATTTTTGTGAAGGATTTGTAACGTAGTCGTGATCATGATCTTTAGGAGTCAACTCATTTAAAATAACAGTTCTTATTACTGTCAATTTATCAGAGGTTAATTCTTTTATCGAGCTGCAAGTAAAAAGCCCTCCTGCATCCAATGATCCAGGTGTATTTGATTGATTTCCATTAACTGTGATTTCTTCCTTTTTAATTCCAAAGTTTTGCTTAGCAAATTTACCATTTTTACTGTCCATTCCACCTAATTGTGAGAAAAGCTTGTCATAACAATTGTTTTTACCATTGTTACATTTGAAAAAAAGCCTACTGCATCTTTGATATGCCATATCAAGGCTTATTTTATTTGTTTGTAATATAGCGTTCATTGTTCTATGGAGCCTTTCATTTCCAGAAGTAGAGCAATGTGGAGGAATTCCACTAAGGCAACCCTTTTCAATGTGTATCTTTAAATTTGAAATTGCCTTGTGTGCTCCAGGACCCAGTATGTTTTCACCATTCCACTTAACTTCTTTCCATTTTTTAATGAAGTTGTGAAGATTAATTAAAATTGTGCTGATATTAGMTGTGCATTGTTGTCTCTTCTCACCTAAATCCGTTGATTGTCTGAATATCATCGCATAATCCTTTGAAACACCACTGTTCATTCTAATACTCGMACTTAACATCTTTGTAAAACGCTGCACAGCATGAAATAGATCCAGTTTAACTGGGACATTTGGGAACTCGCCAGAAAGCATCCCTTTCCATTTGCAGCAATTGTCTATTATAATTCCATTTACTGCAACTCTCTTATATTCCAAACGGCTTTTCAGTTCTTTAAAAACATGTCTCACTTCATCAAAGGATTCTCCGTGTGTGAATTGCCAATGGAGGATATCACCTTCAATACCAAGTACACAAAATATACACTTGAAGAGCTTTATCCAGCGATCATCACTTCCTCTATATTGACCAATATTGGCAGYACTCTTATATGTGTGATCACAGCATAACCATTGTGAAGTACGTTCTGACATGTTTATATTATAATGTTCCTCAAACATTGAAGAGTAAGCTAAGAAGGCATTCCTTATGCTTTTCTCATGTGGAAATGGGAATACTTCCTGTATGAATTCTGGAAATAAGCTGTTGGAGGAAGTGGACCGTTTCTCTTGTACTTCTTTATCCCGTAGATATATCCCTTTGCATATACTGTAGGTATAAAAGTATTGATTTTCAACAATTTCTTCGATAGCTAGAAAACTCATACCGTGATCGACTAAAGAASATATCTGTTCCAACAGATTAGACGTAAATCCTGCACGATTTGTCAAATAAAACGGAACAAATGCATTACAAGGAAGTGCAGAAAGAACGGTGGGGTGGTGTGAGGGAACTCGATGATTATGTTTGCAAACGTAAATAGATGAAACCAGAAGAATAAATGTSGATGTATCGTAGATAACTCTTGGAGAATATGAAGACGTACAACCATCTGCCCATAGTCCCGCTATTCTAAGTTTCGACAACACGTTCTTGGCTTTACAAATATGACAATTTATATCTTTTACCACATTACTATAGCTTCGGAGAACATCCCATATCATGATTGGTGGTGATATGTAGTCTTCCGATTGGGGCATTTGCCCATGGCTGACTTCCAAAGAAAGATCTTGGATATATAGCACCCGGTGACCACCATTTTTAAAGTTGTTTATGGCTGCAYTGATCCTCTTTAAGGTGAACTCTGACATCTTAACTGTGTTACCGAAAGATAGCAGGCAAATTAAAGGGATAAGTCGGATTAACAAAGTCATTTTTTTATAATATTGATAGTTGATTAAGTGAAGCACGTGGTCGACAAGTTGAGGTCAATCCCGTCCTTATCCAGCGGATGTTAATCTCGAGTATTGGTCGGCGACCAGATTCAGGCCACCACCAATTTCGTACCCAGAGCCCGCACTTTTGCCATCCAGCATACCGCTGACATTAGCCGTRAAGACTCTGGGCTCGAGATTGGGCCAAGATTGGGCATAAACCATAAACCCGATCTAACCTCAGCACATAAGTTTATAGGCTTTCTACTCGAGAAWGTTGACTAAATGAAAGCCTTCGAAGTCAGAGAAGGGATTCATTAGACCTCAACCAAAATAAGGTAAAAAGCATTGATTTTAATATGTTGTCTCAGATAAAATTTTGTTTTTTAATTTCGGCGCGAAAAAAGGATTTTTGTCGATYGTTTTTGGCTCATTTTTAGGATATTTCGAGCGTCGTCCCTTGTCATTTGAAGTGGAAATTTTCTAAAAACCAATTACAATGCAAAGTGATCCAAAACAAAATAAAAGTAGACAGTTTTTAGAAGTAAAATTTTATGTTTAACATAGGTTCAGTCATTTCTGGAGGCTATTGAATAGCATCCAGAAATTTCGCATTCCCCAGAGTCAATCTTGTACCCACAGGGAGCCCAAGCAATGAATTTGAATCTATGTTAAACTCTGTTAAACATAAAATTTTACTTCTAAAAATTGTATGACGCGAGTGAGCATTGTTTTCAAGTTGCCAACGCGTGCTCGCCTCTTTAKTCAAAAATATCATAATTTAATCTCATAAAAACTGAAAACTGTATTCTTATTATTTTTGCCTCCAAACATAACTCACTAATCACCAATTACTGATATCCTGGCTGACGATCATGAGAGAAAAAATAATGGTTTCACTTCCGTAGGAACACAAGGTCTATGTGGGCGTCATCTAGCTTTTACTGTCCTAACTCTATCTCCATTCTCTCCTTTTTCCATGTCCATATTCTTAGAACACAGGGAATCCAGAAATATAAAAAACAYTAAATAGATACAATTGTACTAACTTTAATTTCATCACAAGACTCAAAATATGTTTATTATCTCCATCCTGAAACAGGGTTTATAATCTATATTCTTCGATATTCTTCAAAATAAACATTTGCATTCCACATTTGCTTACGTTTATGGTTTTTCACACCCTTACGAAAATAAAATGCTTTAACAACTACCTTAACAAATATTTCAGTTTTGGCATTGAATCTCTGTGTTACATGTATGTTTAATCTGAACTTGAAAACATAATAAGTATTTAACTGAGTATCAATTCGTTCAGGTATATTGGTATTTCATCAGTACTTTAAAAAAGATCCTGAATGAAGTCTAGTGTGCATCAAATAGTAAGTAACATATGGCAGAGCTAATCAAAGGAAAAGGAATAAACAGAGAAAAAACACCTTCCTGTTTTGTCTTCTTAATCCTTAAACCCTTTGTTTATGGAGCTATTGTGCTTATATTGCAGTGTGAACTGGCCCTTAGCTACATGCATATAAGAAAATTCAAAGAATCTTATTGACCATATGAAAAATGAGCAGAGGACTGCTGATGCTCAGGCACCTTTTATACTTTAAAAGAGTACATCTAAATTAGTGAATTGGAGAAATGATAAAATATTGGCAGAGCTATGTACGAGGACTTAAAAAAGTACCAAAAGAACAATGGAACTCTTAGATTTTACACATGATAATTATGTTCTTTCGAAAGGTAGTAATGTTATCATACAATCTATTAACTCAGGTGTCACAGTACTTAGCCATGCCCTTTTTCATATGGTCTATGTTTACCAAACATTATTAATTTCAACTTGTCTTGACTTCATTCGACTACACGATGTGACTTTCTCATAATTACATCTGTCGTCTAATTATGTAATTAATTAAATCTCTTAAATTGAGACTAATCGTGCAGAAACTGGTAAATATAATAATCTCTAGTACCACTACATTTCCAATCATACGTATTAATTGATTCTATATTAATATAGGAAAAATAATCCTGCAAAATCCTGCAGACCAATAGCTTTCAAACAGCAACTTTCAGAGATTCTTTCCCTGGAAACAGTCCATTATGGTCCCTGGAAAAAATAGAAATTGTAATAGAATTAATCAATTTTGAAAGTTATCCTTCAGTGATGTAGAAAAATACAAAACGTAGCTGAAGCTGGTGGTTGTAGGTTAGGTTTCGTACAGTAATCATAAGTCCACTACATGTATGCTTACCAACACAAAAACAAGATATTTAGTAAACCACATAATTTCAGTGATTTTRGTTTTGTTGTATTAGAGTCATCATAAAAAAATGTTGAAAATATTGAACAAGATCTTTAGCTTTAAGAATTGAATTAAAAAATAGGATTAATTTATTATTCTGCTTATTTATTTGTTTATTATTTGTTTCTGTTGTACTTTMAGTTGATATATAATAATTCCTAGGTGTAAGGAGTTTTAAAGGTTGCTTGCAGGGGCAGTAGCTTTCATGTCCTTCCTTTATTAGTTCATGGCTTTTTGCACTTATTGTTGATTCCATTTTTGAGAATAATTGTTTTTTGTAGCAGTGGCATCGTGCAAAACATTTAGTTTGCTGAAGAAGGGTGAATGGCYGAAACACATATCAAAGAGTAGAAAAACAAGTTGCAAGTTGTGTGCCTTTTTCTTCAATTAAGTTATAATACTTATATAAATAAACTCRCTTTTTTGTTTCAAAGGCTTATTTCCTTGCTTCTGTGTTTGTGGTCCTAAAAGAATTATGAAAAAAAATATTGCAATCAATAATTTGATTAAAAAAATGATTATACAGTATGTGGAAATTTAAATTCTTCTTTTGATTAAATTAATAATTGTTTATTATTATATATAACAATTAGTATGCATATGTCTCTTTAAATATGCACACSAAGCTTTGCCAATATTGAGTTTAGTTGAAGCTATTGTATTATTTTCATGAAAAATTTGTTGTTTGTTTTTCAAGGTCAAAGATCAAAAACAATTTATGCTAATAATCAACTTGGACACATGTGCACTCATTGACATAATTTAAAGCAGAAAATTCAAAAATACAATCTAATATGTACATGCATTCTCATTCAAACACATAATAATTCAAATTACACAGTCAGGCATGTGGTTATTATGCTTCAAAGTTATCAATATTTATAATGCTTTGATAAATATATTCATAAAAACTCTAAACAGATAAAATCTTAGATTATAGTGCTAAATTACATGTATGTCATGTGAATTTAGTACCYTTTCGTTTTCGTGTCCTTTGTCGAGTCTTTGGCCCTGATACAATAAAATAATGCAGCTCTGTCATATTTTGAATCATTACTTAGTTCAAATTATCATTATCACGACATCCGACAAGCCTGTAGATCAAAGATATATTGTGATAGCTCGATATGCATGCTTAGAAAACATTTAGCATCATTTGCATAAGACAGTACAGATTTAAGTGTGAATAAAACTTACAGACTGAGACAAATAGGAACATGTGTATATAACTACTTATTCTGGGCAAAATCTATGCACACCTCCACTTTGATACACTTTTCAGCAGTTATGTAGATGTCTGATTCAAACCAGATAGATAGCATCTAAATGTAATTACCTGGACTGTCTGTTACACTGCTACTACAAGAAGACAAATTTGAATCCTGGAGGTGTTGGGGTTCTATGGAAAAAAAGGTTTTGTTAGACAGATGGATTTCTTCAAAAGCAATCTGCAAGTGTCAAGCCCGTGCACAACTTGAGCTCTTTTCTTGGGKAATAGCATAGCAATTGCAAAATGACMTAAAACAATCTCTATGAGATTATGAAATGAAATATCTCAATATGTTAAAATGTTACTTAGCTTGTTCATTATGAAGAAATTGTCAAAATGTTTTTTTTTTTTTTACTCTGTTCATTCAGATGTGATCAGTATCAGTTTGGCTAAAACAATAGGCTTCCTAACCATTACTAAAATTAATTTAAATAAAATAAAATTAATTTAAAAAAACTTGTTTTTCCATGTCACACGTCTATTGTTAAAATATGAAATTTAAAACATTGTGGGCAATGTTGTGGACCAGTCTATCACTTCATTATTTATGACACATAATTTTTTTGACACGTTCGCTCTTAATTTAGCACATCATGCATATAAAATTTTTATCTTGAAATCTCTTTAATACCTGAATTTTTTGCCACTGTATTTGGTACAATTCCTCTAGGTTTGCCAGTGCTAGCTGCAACTGTGGAAGATATTTGAAATTTAATCAAATGCTTGACATACCTTTATAGAATATATATTGTTTAACTTGTTTGTAAGAATTCTATTTACCCAAATCATTAGTATCATCTGAAATTAAGTCATTCTGAGGGTCGTTCTGCTCATGACTGGCAACTGTGGAAGATATTTGAAATTTAATCAATGCTTATTTAAATAAATATACCTAAGTTATAGAATATTTAATGTTTAACTTATTCGTAAGAATTCTATTTACCCAAATCATTAGTATCATCTGCAACTA